ACAAAGGCTGTTAGAATGGAAGAATCATACAGATATGAAGCCTACTAGTTTAAGGCTATACAGAGACATGATTAATCAACTGCATTGATCCTTATCATAGAACGTGACTAAGCGAGTGCAATAAATCACATGCCCTCCTACATAAGGAGGCAGAATTTTTAGGCTTTTATATAATCATCTATACTCGTTCACTTGGTTTACTTCGCAGGTACCATTGTTCCCATTGTTTTTTACTCAAGCAAGACCTCACCTCACCATTTTCTTGAAGCCAATAAAACATCAAATACTACTACAATCCAAGGAGTCGACACAATAACAGGGGCAGGGGCGTAAAGTATCAAAAAGGCAAGGACTCCAAGAAGAAGCCAAGTCTGAGGCCACAACCACTGAATCAAGTATAATTTGGTTAGAAATAAGTATCAATTAACATATCCGCTAACTTAACATCACAAGTACAGGTGACATTGAAACAACATTATATTATCAACCTACACAGATGCAGATATTTGAAATCCACAACAAAGTCAATAAACAATTAGTAAATTATGTAATTGCAATTAGATCATAACATCAAACAACATTTATAATTTCATATAAGGAAAAGAGAAAGCTGAATTAACAAATTAAATAATCAATGATCCAAGTATATTTAACATTATCACTCTTGTATGTATAGGCATACAAGATTATGACCAAATTATTATATTATACATAAATATTTAGAAATCAAAGCCACCCGCGTCGCCCATTGCATCGTCATAGCCAGCATCATAGGCACCTGCATCGTCCACCATATCACCAACAAGCATCCCTCCAAGCAATCCAGCCCCCAACCCCATTGCTAGACCTGATCCCATCCCGGACTTTTTCTTCTTAGGATTCTGCACTGGGGGATATCCACCATACCCCTGCTGGGGCGGAGGAGGATAACCGTACCCAGGAGGCGGGTACCCACCTGGTGGTGGATAGCCATACCCTGGATGAGGAGGATATTGGGGATATTGCTGATACGCCATCCCAGGAGGAGGAGCACCGTATCCCATTCCCTGCTGGGGTGGCATGCTTCCTCCGGCAACATGTGGTGGTGGCGCTGGATACGCAGTCATAGGCTCATCCACATGCTTTTTTGTATCCATTTGTTGAGTGAATTTCTCCCCAAATTTATACGAAAACTTGATGTTGCCCTTGGGTTTTCCTGACGAGGTTCTAACCTGATATTCAACAACCTTTTCTTCGCCGGGATTCGAATTGACATTCTGGTAAAGCTCGTGGATCGGGACAGTGACCTCGCCAACCTCCTTGTCCCCTCCAATAGACCGATCTGCCATGAGCTGGAAGTGAAGGGACAGGCCAGGCTTCGTCAAATACGGCTCATCAACGACGAAATCCATTTGATGATTCCACTTTGGATGGGTACCGCAATCCTTGTCGACGAAAGTCTTCTTCTTCGACTTGGGGTAACCGGCAATCGACACAACAACGTAGACATCCATCTTGGAGAAAAGATTGACATCCTTTATGCCCTCTGCCGATATAACTTTGATGTCTAATGGCCGAAAATCCATCTTGTTCGCAATAATGGAGAATGAGATCGAGAATTGGGATTGATTTAGGAAAAAGATTTGAGTTTTGAAATCTTATAATAGAGAGAGAAAAAAAGAGGAGAAAACCGTGTAGAATTAGGGATTCTTCTGAATTGTAGCTGTTGTATATTTATATTGAAGGCTCCGGGCGAACGGATTATATAGGAATTAGAACAGGAAATGGAAAAGGAAAAGGGTAGGAAGGAGCGACGTAAGGCATGTTTGGGAGTTTATAAATTAGTCAAACATGCTTATAAGCATTTTTAATTGCCAAACTTGTTTTGAGCTTAAAAACTCCTTATTTTCATGGAAAATAAGCACACAGAATAATTATTTATTGTGCAAAGTGCTTATTTTTTTGGGTGTGAATTTCATCTTTTATGTACGATGATTGAAGAACAGTAAAATTTTAATTTTCTTGATCAGCTTAATAAATTGTAATTTTGCTGCAACTCCATCACCGTCTTTGTCGTCAACCAAATTAATGAAAAATACGTGATTGACAGTTGCTCTGTTTCATCAACTACTATTCCAAAATGCATTATTAATAAAAAATGGGGCTCAAACAGACGCTGAGTCAAAGTGAACAATTAATTTTAACTATATATTTCATAGGCACACAACTTTTCAATAACACATTTTATCAGCTTTTATCAAAATTTATTAAAAATTTTATTTTAATTTCACCAAATTGGGGCTTAATATATTTCATAACTTTACTTTAGTTCACTTAAAAGAATTTTTTTATTTTTTCATGCATCCCAAACATGCTCTTAAATAAAATAACCGCCTGAGGAGAAATGGGATATTTATCGTGGATCGTTCTTTTTGTAAAGGGATATTTTCTTCCTTGTTTAACGTTTAGGAAGCCGATAGAATAGTAACGTTTATCCCTATTGCTTTTGTCAACTCGGGAAATATCTAGAATTTGCGAAGATTCTCCCGTGTGCATTGCGTGTGCACGAGTTGATGGGGACACGGATTTGACTGTGCAGGGCACTGGGGAAGAATTTTCTATGCCATTGTGGGCACAGTCTTAGGCATTAAGCATGCGCGTGATCCAACAATTACCGAGTTTTTGACAAAATGATATTTATAAGTATGGTTCGAGTCTAGTGTGGACTGATCCGCGAATTGAGATTTACTGTCCAATTTACTGTTTATTAATGATTTATTGACACATTAGTTTATACATATTCTTAAGCACTAGTAACAGTTAGAGAAAAGTTAGATATTTTAATTTAAAGTGATTTGTCAATGAATTATTGAATAGGCGACAAGTTGAACATCCAATTTTGAACAGTAGATCTCAACT